CCCCCATGTCCCCCAGTCCCCCCATGTCCCCTTGATCCCCCCATGTCCCTGATCCCCCCATGTCCCCTTGATCCCCCCATGGCCCCGTGATCCCCCCATGTCCCCCTGTTCCCTCCATGTCCTACTGATCCCCCCTTGATTCCCCCATGTCCCCCAATCCCCCCATGTCCCCCAATCCCCCCGTGTCCCCCTGATCCCCTCACGTGTCCCCCTGATCCCCCCTGTGTCCCTGTGTCCCCTGATCCCCCCATGTCCCCCCCATGTCCCCCTGTTCCCCCCATGTCCCCCAGTCCCCCCATGTCCCCCAATCCCCCATGTCCCCCAATCCCCCATGTCCCCAATTTAATATCTGTGTCCCATTTTTATTGATCCCACATCTTGGTCCCCCCCAGTCCCCCTGTTACCCCAGTTCCCCCAGTCCCCTATGTCCATTCCGATCCCCCAATTGTCCCCTGTTCCCCCCCATTGTCCCAATGTCCCCAAATCCCCATGTCCCCCAATCCCCCCATGTCCCCCTGATCCCCCCTGTGTCCCCTCATGTCCCTGATCCCCCCATGTCCCCTCATGTCCCCCTGATCCCCCCGTGTCCCCCCCATGTTCCCCAATCCCCCCATGTCCCCCGATCCCCCCATGTCCCCCAATCCCCCCATGTCCCCCAATCCCCCCATGTCCCCCTGTTCCCCCCATGTCCCCCAATCCCCCCATGTCCCCCTGATCCCCGTGGTCCCCTCCGTCCCTCTGACGCACCCCTGTTCCCAAATTCCCCCAGTCCACAAGTCCCCCTGTTCCCCCCCTGTCCCAAATCCCACCTGTCCACTTGATCCCCCCCATGTCCCCCGATCCCCCCATGTCCCCCAATCCCCCCATGTCCCCCAATCCCCCCATGTCCCCCTGTTCCCCCCATGTCCCCCAATCCCCCCATGTCCCCCTGATCCCCCCTTGTCCCTCCATATCCCCTAATCCCCCCGTGTTGTTGATCCTGGGGGGGGGGGGGGGCCAGGGGGGTTCAGGGGGGGCGGGGCGGGGCTTTTTGGCGGGCAATTCGGGGGGATTGGGGCACCGCTGGATGGTCTCCTCCTACTCCTTGACCATGTGGGCGAGATGCGGGAAGATGGAGCCCAACTCCACGATGGTGGACTCGATGTTCTGCATCGTGTCCGCCCGGCTCTGGATTTAGGAGTCCTGGGAAAAGGGGATTTTGGGGGGGCTGGAGCAGGAAATCCTGGGAAAAGGGGATTTATGGGGGGCTGGACTGTTTTTTTTTTTTTTTTTTTTTTAGGAATCCTGGGAAAAGGGGATTGGGGGGGTGGCTGCAGGCTCTGAAAAGGATTTGGGGGGCCTGGGTGGAGGCAGGGCATTCCTGGGAAAAGGGGATTTTGGGGGGGCTGGATGTAGGAGTCCTGGGAAAAGGGGATTTGGGGGGGGCTGGATGCAGGAATCCTGGGAAAAGGGGATTTAGGGGGGGTCTGGGTGGAGGAATCCTGGGAAAAGGAGATTATTGGGGTGCTGGGTGTAGGAAACCTGTGGGAAAGGGGATTATTGGGGGGTCTGGGGGGAGGAATCCTGGGAAAAGGGGATTTAGGGGGGTCTGGGGGGAGGAATCCTGGGAAAAGGGGATTTAGGGGGGTGTAGGAATCCTGGGAAAAGGGGATTTAGGGGGGTCTGCAGGGAGGAATCCTGGGAAAAGGAGATTATTGGGGGGTGTAGGAATCCTGGGAAAAGGGGATTTGGGGGGGTCTGGGTGGAGGAATCCTGGGAAATGGGGGATTATTGGGAGGTCTGGGTGGAGGAATCCTGGGAAAAGGGGATTTAGGGGGGTCTGGGGGGAGGAATCCTGGGAAAAGGGGATTTAGGGGGGTGTAGGAATCCTGGGAAAAGGGGATTTGGGGTGCTGGATGTAGGAATCCTGTGGGAAAAGGGGATTTGGGGGGTGTGGGTGCACGAATCCTGGGAAAAGGGGATTGTGGGGTCTAGGAATCTTGGGAAAAGGGGATTTGGGGGGGTCTGGGTGCAGGAATCCTGGGAAAAGGGGATTATTGGGGGGGCTGGATGTAGGAATCCTGTGGGAAAGGGGGGGTTTGGGGGGGTCCCAAAGCAGGGGGAGGGGCAGTAGGACCCCAGACAGGGGAGGTGTCGACCCCCCGAACTGAGAGGGCCCCTCTGGGGGGGCTGCAGCCCCCAATGACCCCCCCTCCCCTCGCCAAGCCCCCCCACCTGCTCGTCCAGCAGCTGCAGCTGTTGGTGGGTCCGAGGGTCCATCTCGATGGCCACGGCCCCCGAGGGGGGGGGCTCGTCCTGCAGCACCACGGGGCTCCCTGGGGGGGCAGGGAGGGGGTGAGGGGGGCAAAGGACCCCCCAGAGCCCCCCCCCCCCACCCCCAAAATGCCGGGACTCACCGAGGTTGGTGGGGGGGACGGGCAGGGAGGAGAAATGTTCCCGACGGCTCCGCTGCTGCTTCAGGTTCTGGGGGGGCAAAGGGGGGAAAAGGGGGGGAAAAGGGGGGGAAAAGGGGGAGGGGGGGAAAGGGGAAGGGAGGGAAAGGGGGAAATAAAGGGGGGAAACGAGGGGGAAAAGGGGAAGGGAGGGAAAGGGGAAGGGAGGGAAAGGGGGAAATAAAGGGGGGAAACGAGGGGGAAAAGGGGAAGGGAGGGAAAGGGGAAGGAAAAGGGGGGTTGGAAGAAGAAGGGGGAGATAAAGGGGGAAAATGAGGAGGAAAAGGGGAAGAGAAGAAAAGGAGAAGAGAGAAAAAGGGGAAAATGGGAAGGAAAAGGGGGGTTGGAAGAAAAAGGGGGGTATAAAGGGGGGAAATGAGGAGGAAAAGGGGAAGGGAGGAAAAGGGGAAAATGGGAAGGAAAAGGGGGGTTGGAAGAAAAAGGGGGGTATAAAGGGGGGAAATGAGGAGGAAAAGGGGAAGGGAGGAAAAGGGGGAGACAAAGGGGGGAAATGAGGAGGAAAAGGGGGAGGGAAGAAAAGGGGAGGGGAGGAAAAGGGGAAAACGGGAAGGAAAAGGGGGGTTGGAGGAAGAAGGGGGAAATAAAGGGGGGAAATGAGGGGGGAAAGGGGAAAATAAAGGGGGGAAATGAGAAGGAAAAGGGGGAGGGAGGAAAAGGGGAAGGGAGGAAAAGGGGGAGACAGGAAGGAAAAGGGGGGTTGGGGGAAGAAGGAAATAAAGAGTTGGGAGAAAGGGGAGGAAAACAGGGGTGAGATAAAAAGGGGAGAAGAAAAAGGGGGAAGGGGAAAAAGAAGGAAAAGGAGGAAACGGGGGAAGAGGGAAAAGGGGGGAAAAAAGGCGGGAAGTGAAAAAATGGGGGGAAAGGGAAAAAGTCAAAAAGATAAAAGGCAAAGAAGAAAAAGGAGAAAATGAGAAAACGGGGGAAAAAAAGGGGAAAGGAAAAAAGAGGAAAGGAAAAAAGAGGAAGGGAAAAAAAGAGGAAGGGAAAAGAGAGGAAAAGGAAAACAGAGAAAAAACCCAAAACAAAACGAAAGATAAAAGGGGGAAAGGAGGAAATGACAAAAAGGGGAAATAAAAAAAAGGAGAAAGGGAAAAAGGGAGAAGGAAAATTGGAAAGAAAGGAGGAAGGAAAGGGGGGAGAAGCCCCCAGGACTCACCTCCGTCCGCACCTCCAGCACCGACTTGAAGTCGTTGGACATCGAGGCCAGTTTGGACTGGGGAGGGGGAATTGGGGGGGTCAGGAGGTGCTGGGGGGGGGGCTGGGTGTCCCTGCCCCCCCGTTCCCACCCCCCAGTGCCCCCCAGTGCCCCCCAGTCCCCCCCAGTCCACCTGCAGCGACACCACCACGGTGTTGGAGTGGGAGTGGACGTGGCGCCCGCCGGGGCCCCCCCGGGCCCGGAGCAGCTCCTGCAGCTGAGCAATCTGCTTGTTCAGGCTGGTGATGTCCTGGGGGGGGGCACAGGGGGGGTCAGGGACACCCCAAACTCTGTCCCCTGGGGTCGGGGACACCCCAAAAGCTGCCCCCCGACCTGGCGGATGATGTAGGTGAGCTCCTCGATCTCCACGGCCTTGTCGTCGAACAGGGATTTCCTCTTGGCCACTGAGGGGGGCAGGGAAGTGAGGGGGGGGCTGCCAGGACCCCCCTCCCACCCCTAGACCCCCCCCCCGTGCCCCCCAGCCCCCACTCACGGATCGTGAGCTTCTCCAGTTTGGCGAAGGTGTTGCTCAGGTCCTTCCCGATGCGCCTGGAAGGGGAGGGGAGGGAGGCTCAGGGATTTTGGGGGGTCCTTGGACCCCCCCCACCCCGATCCCACCGCACCTGGGGACCCTTCCCCCCATTCCTGGGGACCTGGAGCCGCTCCTGCCCCACCTGGAGGCCCCAAACACCCCAGTTTTGGAGACCCCAACCCCTCCTGTCCCCCCACACCCGGCGACCCCAACCCCTCATTTTTGGGGACCCCAACCCCTCCTGTCCCCTCACACCTGGGAACCCCAACCCCTCATTTCTGGGGACCCCAACCCCTCCTGTCCCACCGGGAGGCCCCAACACCCCAGTTTTGGAGACCCCAACCCCTCCTGTCCCCCCACACCCAGGCACCCCAACCCCTCCTTTTTGGGGACCCCAACCCCTCCTGCCCCACCTGGAGGCCCCAAACACCCCAGTTTTGGAGACCCCAACCCCTCCTGTCCCCTCACACCCGGCGACCCCAACCCCTCATTTTTGGGGACCCCAACCCCTCCTGCCCCACCTGGAGACCCCAACCCCTCATTTTTGGGGACCCCAACCCCTCCTGTCCCACCTGGAGACCCCAACCCCTCATTTTTGGGGACCCCAACCCCTCCTGTCCCACCTGGAGGCCCCAAACCCCCCAGTTTTGGAGACCACGACCCCCCCTGTCCCCCCTCCCAGCCCTGTGCCCCCCTCACTTGGCCATCAGGCTGAACTCGCTGCGCTGCCGCCCCGGGCCGGGGGCTCTGCCGGGCTGGAGACCCCCGTCCTGGGGGAGACACGGGGGTCAGGGGGTCCCCAGGGGTCGGGGGGGGCATTGGGGGGACCCCCTGGGGGGACCTGGGGGGACAGCGGGTCCCCCAGGAACAGGAGGGTCGGGGGGGAACCCCGGGGGGTCACAGGGGGGGTCGGGGTAGGAGGGAAACCCCCAAGGACCCCCCAGGGTTGAGGTGGAGGAGGGTGGGGGGGACATAAAGGGGGGGGACCCCGGGGTGGGGGGATTTGAGGGACCCCCTGGGTGAACTTTGGGGGGGGGGGGGGGGGGGGGGGGGGGGGAGGGGCAGGAAGGGACCCCCGGGGGGAAGTTGGGGGAGGCAAAAAGGCGTCGTGGGGAGTCAGAAGGGGGTCCCCGGGGGGGTCTCTCCCACCTGGCGACCCTGCAGGGACTTGCAGGCGAAGAGGTACTCCTGGGTCCTGTCGCGACACGACATGACGTCGGCGGGCGGGGGGGGCGGGGGGGGCTCGGCCTGGCTCGGGGGGGGCCCCGCCGGGCTCGGGGGGGGCCCCGCGTGAACTCCCGGGTCCCGCTGCCTAAAGCCCACCCGGCGCCGCGTCTGCATCGGGGCTCATCGGGGCTGGGGGGACAACGGGGGGGGTCAGCGGGACCGCCGGGACGCCCCGCACACACCGAGACCCCCCCAAGCCAACGGGACCCCTCCCCAGGACCTCCCCGGGCACACCGGGAACCCCCCCCGCTCCAAAACATTCCCCCCCCCGGCAACGGGGACCCCTTAGGGGCACAAGGACCCCCCCCAACCCCGAGAGCCCCCAAACACACCGAGACCGCCCCGATCCGGGACCCCCCTCCCAGCCCGGGGATCCCCGGAGGCACCGGGACCCCCCCGGACCCCGAGACCCCGCAGCCCCCGGAGCCGCCTCGTGCCCGGGGGGGCCGGGAGGGGGCCCGGGGGGGTCCCGGTCTCTCCCCCCCTCACCGCTCCCGCTCCGGGACCCTCCGGACCACCCGCGGTGACGTCACCGCCACGTCCCTTCCGCCGGAAGCGCTGCTGGAACCCGGAAACACCGACCGGGCTTCCGGGAGGGACCCGGCGGCGGGCCCCGCCCACAGCGGCAGACCCCGCCCACAGGGGGTGGGGCAGGGACTGAGGGGACACGCCCCCTCGTAGTAGACCATGCCCCCTAGCAACAGCCCCGGCCCCTGGCAACAATCCCCGCCCCTAGAGGTCTCGGACAGGACAGCCCCGCCCCCTGGCAACAAGCTCCGCCCCTAGATAGTGCCCGGAAATAAGCGGCCACACCCCTAGTAACAGGCCACGCCCCCGGAGACCGGCTCCGCCCCCTGGTAAGAGTCCCCACCCCCCAGAGACACCCCAAAAACCGAACTGACCCCGCCCCTAGAGAGGGAATGGAGCTGCCACACCCCCAGAAACAGGCCCCGCCCCTGACAACAGGCCACGCCCCTGGTAACCAGCCCCCAACCATACCCGCCCCCCAGAGCCGCGTGTGACGTCATCAGGAGCGGACAGACACCGGGGAACAGGAAGCGGCTCCAGGGCCTTTATTGGGGGTCGGGGGGGATGAGGGGGGGTCCCATCGGTGCGCGGGGCCCGCTCGGTGGTCCCGGTCCGGGGGGGGGTCCCAGTCCTGGGGGCTCCAGTGCTGGTGGTCCCAGTAGTGGCGTCCCGGTACTTGGGTGGTCTCGGTGATGGCGGTCCCAGAACCAGGGTCCTCGTCTCGTGGGGTCCCGCTGCTGGGAGGGGTCCTGGTCCTGGGGGGGGTCTTGGTCCTGGGGGGTCCCGGAGCAGGTGTTCCCGACGCGGCGGGGGGAGGAGGAGGAGGGGGGGCTGTTCCCGTCTCACTCCTCCCGCTTCTTGTAGTCGTTGAGGTGCGCGAGCACCCAGGCGGCGGGGCCGAGGCAGGACAGGAAGATGGCGGCGAAGCCCACCACGCTCTCCTGGGGGGGGGGGCACAACCCCGTCAGCCCCCGCCGTGTCCCCCCCGCCCCCTCCCAAGGTCACCCCGCGCGCCCCCCCCCCGGGGCAGGAGGTCCCCGCACAACCCCCCCCGCGCTCACCGCGCCCCCGATGGGGCTCTGCGGCGGCCCCGACACGATCCCGCGCGGGGCCGGGCCGGGCCGGGCCGCGGAGCGAAGGAGGGAGCGGGCGAGCAGCGCGGCGGGCGCCATGGCGGCCGGACTGTGACGTCACTTCCGCCGGAAGCGCGCGGGACGAGGCCCCTCCGCCGAGGCGGCTTCCGGTCTGTGACGGGAACGCCCCCAGGCGGGCCTGGCCACGCCCATTGCGATGAAGCCACACCCACTGCGATGAAACCACGCCCACACCGCTAAACCCACACCTTTCTCGCAGTGTAACCCCTCCCCGCTCCCCCACAGGCCACGCCCCCGATAGCAATCCATCGCTGCCCTGGGAAGCCCCGCCCAGTGAAATCAGACCACGCCCACAAACACGAGGGCGTTCTGGCGCTGAGGCTCCACCCCCCGAACGGGCCACGCCCATCAGAGCCACCGCTGCTCAGTATAAGCTTTGCCTTCTCAGTTCAGGCCACGCCCCCAGGTCAGGCCCCACCCCTTAAGCCCAGGCCACGCCCCCAGGGGTACATTATTGCCCCCAGTAGGGAACTGGGGGGACAACGGGGGGGGGCAACTGGGGGAGGGGGGACAACTGGGGGAGGGGGGACAACTGGGGGAGGGGGGACAACAGGAGCCCCCAGCCAAAGGTCCATCATTATTTATTTGTGACGTACAAACAAACCCGCTGAAAAAAACAAACAGAAAGGAACGAAAACCCAAAAAAACGGGGCAAAACGCCCCTTCCGGCCCCAAACTTCACCTGTGCTTCCCCCCCCCCCTCCCCTCCAGAGACGTTTAGGGGGGGCGAGGGGGGGTGGTTTGTCACCCGTTTGGGGGGTCCCAGCAGGCCAGGCCGCTCCCCCGTGGGCAGGGGGTGGTTTGGGGTGAATTCCCGGGGTCTGGGGGCTCAGTGGCAGCAGCCCCCGCAGGGGCCCCCCCCGGGGTGGGGGTCCCCGAACCTGGTGCTGCGGCTCAGGATCTCGTAGGACGAGTCGTCCCCGCAGCAGCCGGACACGCTGGGGGACGTGGGGTCCACCTCGAACCTGGGGGGGGGCACAGGAAAGGGGCTTGAACCCCCCGGGAAAAGGGGGGGTCACTCCCCAAAGGGAGTTTAACCCCCTCCCCAAAAAAGGGAAGTTTAGCCCCCTGAAGAAAGGAGGTTTAACCCTCTGAAAAAACCAGGAGTTTGAAACCCCCCAAAAAGGGGTTGAACCCCCCACAAAAGGGGTTTAAAATCCCCACAAAAGGGGTTTAAAATCCCCACAAAAGGGGTTTAACCCCCCATAAAAGGGGTTTAACCCCCCACAAAAGGGGTTTAACCCCCCACAAAAGGGGTTTAAAATCCCCACAAAAGGGGTTTAACCCCCCATAAAAGGGGTTTAAAATCCCCCCAGAAAAGGGGTTTAACCCCCCATAAAAGGGGTTTAAAATCCCCACAAAAGGGGTTTAACCCCCCATAAAAGGGGTTTAAAATCACCCCAGAAAGGGGTTTAACCCCCCATAAAAACGGGTTTAAAATCCCCACAAAAGGGGTTTAAAATCCCCACAAAAGGGGTTTAACCCCCCACAAAAGGGGTTTAAAGTCCCAAAAAAAGGGGTTTAAAGTCCCCACAAAAGGGGTTTAACCCCCCATAAAAGGGGTTTAAAATCCCCCCAAAAAGAGGTTTAACCCCCCATAAAAGGGGTTTAAAGTCCCCACAAAAGGGGTTTAAAGTCCCCACAAAAGGGGTTTAACCCCCCCAAAAGGGGTTTAAAGTCCCCACAAAAGGGGTTTAACCCCCCATAAAAGGGGTTTAAAATCCCCCCATAAAAGGGGTTTAACCCCCATAAAAGGGGTTTAAAATCCCCCCAAAAAGGGGTTTAACCCCCCATAAAAGGGGTTTAAAGTCCCCACAAAAGGGGTTTAAAGTCCCCACAAAAGGGGTTTAAAGTCCCCCCAAAAGGGGTTTAAAGTCCCCACAAAAGGGGTTTAAAATCCCCACAAAAGGGGTTTAACCCCTGAAAAAACCAGTTCAAAATCCCCCCAAAAAAGGGGTTTAACCCCTGAAAAAACCAGTTCAAAATCCCCCCAAAAAAGGGGTGAACCCCTGAAAAAAGGGGGTTTAACCCTCCCAAAGCAGGGGTCGAGCCCCCTGCAGCCGTGGCTGCCCCCCTGCCCGGGGCCGAGGGGGGTCCTGAGCACCCACCTCCGTCGCCGCCCCTGCCCCTCCTGCCCGCGGCGCCCGGCCCCGGCCACTGCAACGACAGTCGTGCCACAGGGGTTACACCCCCCCGGGGGGCCTTTTGGGGGGCAAAAGGGGCGGGTTTGGGGCAGCAGCACTCACTGCAGGGCCTCCCGGAAGAACTGGAACGCGCCCAGGTTGTGCTTGAACACCGTCAGCATCACCTTCTTCATCTGCGTGCTGGGGGACCCCGGAACGGCTCAGTTCACCCCAAAAACAGCTCAGTTCACCCCCAAAAAACAGGCTCAGTTCACCCCAAAAACAGGCTCAGTTCATCCCCAAAAACAGCTCAGTTCACCCCAAAAACAGGCTCAGTTCATCCCCAAAAACAGGCTCAGTTCATCCCAAAAACAGGCTCAGTTCATCCCCAAAAACAGGCTCAGTTCATCCCAAACAGGCTCAGTTCATCCCCAAAAACAGGCTCAGTTCATCCCAAACAGGCTCAGTTCATCCCCAAAACAGGCTCAGTTCACCCCAAAAACAGGCTCAGTTCATCCCAAACAGGCTCAGTTCATCCCCAAAAACAGGCTCAGTTCATCCCCAAAAACAGGCTCAGTTCATCCCCAAAAACAGGCTCAGTTCACCCCAAACAGGCTCAGTTCACCCCAAAACAGGCTCAGTTCACCCCAAAACAGGCTCAGTTCACCCCGAAACAGGCTCAGTTCACCCCGAAACAGGCTCAGTTCATCCCCAAAAACAGCTCAGTTCATCCCAAAACAGGCTCAGTTCACCCCAAAAACAGCTCAGTTCATCCCCAAAACAGGCTCAGTTCACCCCAAACAGGCTCAGTTCACCCCGAAACAGGCTCAGTTCATCCCAAACAGGCTCAGTTCACCCCAAACAGGCTCAGTTCACCCCAAAACAGGCTCAGTTCACCCAAAAACAGCTCAGTTCATCCCAAACAGGCTCAGTTCATCCCAAACAGGCTCAGTTCATCCCAAAACAGGCTCAGTTCATCCCAAACAGGCTCAGTTCATCCCAAAACAGGCTCAGTTCATCCCAAACAGGCTCAGTTCATCCCAAACAGGCTCAGTTCATCCCAAACAGGCTCAGTTCACCCCAAACAGGCTCAGTTCATCCCCAAAAACAGGCTCAGTTCATCCCAAAAACAGGCTCAGTTCATCCCAAAATGGGCTCAGTTCACCCCAAAACTGCCCCATCTCACCCCAAAACTTCCCCATCTCACCCCAAACTGTCCCAGTCCATCCCAAAACTGCCCCATTCCACCTTAAACCCACCCCATGCAACCCCAACCTCACCCCAACCCCACCCATTCCACCCCAACCCCACCCATTACATCCCAAACCCGCCCCAAGCCCACCCATTCCACCCCAAACCTGCCCAAACCCACCCATTCCACCCCAAATCTGCCCCAACCCCACCCATTCCACCCCAACCCCCCCCACCCCCCCCCCCCCCACACCCCCCCCCCACCACCCACTACCCCCCCCCACCCCCCCCCCCCAACCCCACCCATTCCACCCCAACCCCACCCCAACCCCCCCCATTCCACCCCAACCCCACCCATTACATCCCAAACCCGCCCCAAGCCCACCCATTCCACCCCAAACCTGCCCAAACCCACCCATTCCACCCCAAATCTGCCCCAACCCCACCCATTCCACCCCAACCCCCCCCATTCCACCCCAACCCCACCCATTCCACCCCAAACAACCCACCCCAAAACACACCCCATTCACACCCAACCCCACCCATTCCACCCCAAACCCACCCCAACCCCCCCCATTCCACCCCGACCCCCCTTTCTCACCTGTTGGCCACGAGCTGCAGGATCTGGAGCAGGAACTTGCCCAGCCCCCTCCTCCTCACCCGGCTCTCCAGCTGCACCTCGTAACTGCGGGAGGGCCCCAAAAGCCACGAACGACCCCAAAGCCGTGAACGACCCCAAAGCCATGAACGACCCCAAAGCCGTGAACGACCCCAAAGCCATGAACGACCCCAAAGCCGTGAACGACCCCAAAGCCATGAACGACCCCAAAGCCATGAACGACCCCAAAGCCATGAACGACCCCAAAAGCCACGACCGACCCCAAAAGCCACGACCGACCCCAAAAGCCATGAATGACCCCAAAAGCCACGACCAACCCCAAAGCCATGAACGACCCCAAAGCCACGAACGACCCCAAAGCCATGAACGACCCCAAAGCCATGAACGACCCCAAAAGCCACGAACGACCCCAAAAGCCATGACCAACCCCAAAAGCCACGAACGACCCCAAAGCCATGACCGACCCCAAAAGCCATGACCAACCCCAAA